AGGACGCAGAGAGAGGCCCTAAAATAGGGCATTGACCTCTGGCTGATCTGGCAAGCAACTGATCTTGTGTTCATAGACACCTGCAATGGAGATACTAACAGAGCCCAGGGACAGAAGTATAAGTGTGGGTATAAGTCAGTTGATGTCAGTAAAACAGACAAAAGGAGGCATTTATTCTTTACATGGTTCTTCTACAGATAAGAGATCTCTGGGACACCTTGGTTTGGGATGTGGCTGATGCCAGGGTTATCATTCCTTTCTGGTGGACTCCAGGGGAGATTAAATAAAGTCACAGAAAACAAATTGGTCGAAGTTTACTAAATATACAGAAACAACAACTGTCTCAAGAAGCCCCTGATGCAGATGGTTGGATATGAGGAAAGTGTCATTTTAGAATTGAGCATTGCACAGATTGTGCTCTCTTGCTCTTGCCTGGACAATTGCTTTTGGCCAGGGCCACAGACAGGATGTGAGCACAAACTGCATTATAGATGGTTTTTGATGACTCCTTTTGACACAAATCATCTTTCTCTTCCCTAATATTGGAAAAAGCCCACAGCAATCTGAGATGGTTAGTAAAACAGACCCTACTGTCCATCTCTGGTACAGTCAGGAGAAATATTAAGTATAGGAGAAGGTGGCCACATTTGGCCAGACAAATCCTCTTGGATCTGGGCAGAGCAGCCCACAGAGTTGGGTCCACGTGGGCACATGCCTATGCAGAAAGACAAGCATCCTTCATGGCTCCGGAGCAAGCACAGTGCTCAGAGGCAGCAGGGAATGAGCTGGTAATAAGACATCTTCCTTTCCATATGAGCCAGTTGCAACCAGAGAAGTCTTAGAGGTAGAATTTCTTGGATTCAGAAGTGGCCACTCTCTGGGACAGTTTGTCTGAGTCTCTTGGGGGGAGGGAACATGTTGGGCTCAGCTACGGAGGAGCCACAGAGGGACATCAAGCACAATGCAGTTCATCTGCCCACAGACTGGAAAGATGAAGTCGTATGGACAGGTGGTTTTGGCCAGGGCAGCGCTGCCCTCGAGGAGACTTTCACAATAAAAATGAGATCGCATTGGGTTTTTAACGCAGCATGGAGGCTGGGGAGCACCAGATGTGCACCAATGCCCTAATAACCCACAAAGGCAATGGGGAGGCAGAATGCCGCCATTGTCCTATGTGAGGGGTGAGGTTCAAGGGGTACCTGAGCGAGGAAAATGCTCTTCTGAGGGAGGAACCAGGCAGGGCAAGGGAGATACCTGAGCTTATCCAGGAGAGACTAAAAAGAGGATGGAGAACAAGCAGCCGAGCAGTGCGAGAAGCAGCAGAGACTTTGCAGCATGCAACCATGCCAAGAAGCCTGTGAGACAAAGGTGGATCTCAGGAGTGGTCAGGACAGGCCACGCCAGAGAAGCAGCAGCTGGCTTGTCTGGGTCTCGCCGCAGGGACCCCTCACGCCCCACGCTGCAGGAGCCGAGGGGGAAGAGCCGAGCGCTGGACCCGTCTGAGAAATACGGAGCAACAAGTCCCCGAGGCCGGTGGAGGCGCACTCGGGGAGCGGCCGCAGCGCACAAAGGTGAGGACCCCGATGGGAGCTGCCCCCAGCTGCAGCGGGGGGTCCCGGGAGCAGCGCTGCCGCCTGCCCGCGACGTCGGGCTGAGCCGGTGCCGACGCGGCGCGGCGGGCAGAGCAGCGGGCACGGCAGCGGGCAGAGCAGCGGGCAGAGCAGCGGGCAGAGCAGCGGGCACGGCAGCGGGCACGGCAGCGGGCACGGCGGCCGGGACGGAAGGGAGCGCGGCTGCGGGGGCCGCCTCGGCGCGGGACCTGCCCCGCCACCGCCCCCGCGGGGCGGGCTCGGAGGGCACTCGGAGCGCCGGTAGCCGCAACACGGCGACGCCGGGAGGTACCGGCCCCGAACGCGGCATCGTGCTGGGGACGAGGGGCAGCCTCGCGCCGGGCCGAGCGGGACCGGGTCCCGAACGGGGACCGGGATGAGGATCGGGACGGGCGGGGAGGGCTGCGGGCCGCCCTGCGGGCCGGGCCGCGCCGCGCCCCGTCGCCTTCCGCCTCGCTCGCCCCGGGCCGGGTGCCAGGACCTCGGAGAGCTCCGCGCCGCCGGCCCGGCCGCGGCTCCGGGCCGCTCCGCTCCGGTCCTGCCGGGCGGCCCATGGCACGCCGTGGCAGCCCCTCCGACCGGCCGCGCTCCCCCCACTCCTGCGCCACGGCCCGGCCGAGGCGAGTGGAGTCCGCAAAAGCTGCGGGCGCTGCGGAGCCGGCCCCGGACGGCAGAGAACTGTCCCTGTCCTCCCGTCTCGGCCCGACGGGACGGACAGGGAGCGCAGCCGCGGGCAGGTCCAGCCGCCGAGGCCGTAGCGACCCCGCCGTCCTGCCCGCTGCGCCCCGGCCCCCAGCGCCCACGGCTCCGTGGCTCCCGTCCCGGCGAGCTCGGGCTCTGCGGGGCCGCCATCCCCAGGAGCCGCCGGCGCGGCGGGGAGAGACCGGTCAGGGTCCTCTCGGGGCTGCGGGGGTCCGGGAGAGGCGGGCCGGCCGCTCTCCGCCGGGCGGGGCGGGCCCGCGTCACTCTTACCTGCCAGGCCGGGGAAGGGGTCCGGAAAGTGCAGCGGCGGCTCGGGCGGCCCCTTGTCGCGGCCCGGGGGCAGCTCCTCCGCCTCCAGGCCCTCGGCGCCTCGCCGGCAGCCAGCGTCGGGGGTGGCGCGCGGCGGGGGCAGCTCCTGGGGCGGGTAGAAGCCGTCGGGGGGCTCGGAGAAGCTGGGCAGGGCGGTGGTGAGCGCCACCATGGAGGGCACGGCCTGGCCCAGGCTGGCGCAGAAGGTGTTGGTGAGGCGGCCGGCGAAGGAGGCGAGCGGGGCCAGCGGCGGCAGCCCCGACTGCAGCGGGGCGTGGGACAGTGCCTGCGGCAGCACCAGCGGCCGGTACGGCATGAACATGGGGTACCCGGTGTAGAGCAGGTGCCCGGAGCGCGGCGGCGGCGTCCCGATGAGCGAATCGATGGAGAAGGCGGTCCCCTGGCCGCCGGGTCTCTGCATGGCGAGCGGGCGCCGCCGGCTCAACCGGCACCAACTTTCCGGCGAGCTCGGGCCGCCGCCAACTCGCCGCGATCCCGCCGCCGCCCCCGGGCCCCGCCGCCGCCGCGGCCCCGGCCCGCGCCCGCCGCCTCCGGTGGGCTCCGGCGCCCAGCGAGAGCTGCCGCCCGTCCGCCCGCTCGCTGTCTCGGCGCGGCGGAGTGAGGCGCGCTCGGAGCCGCCCGCCCGCCCCGCCGCGGGGGGGCCGGGCCGGGCCGGCGAGGGGAGGGGGAGGAGGGAGGGGAGGCGGGCGGGGGTGTCGCCCTCTGCTCTCATCCATCTTCCGCACATCACGGTCGAGTTCCTCCTTCAGCGCCCGCTCCGCCGGGGCAAAGCGCCCCGCTCCCCCGGCGCGGCCGGCCCCTGGGAAGGCACCTCCCCCTCCCGCCTCATCAGCTGTTATTAATGGTGATTGATGATTAGCAATTGCGGGGCCAGCACAAGGGTGCTTTTGTGGGGACGGGACGGGGCCGCGCCGCTCGGCACAGCCCTCCCCGGGATCACGGACGGGGCGAGCCGGCCCCGCAATCGGCCCGGGCCGGGCCAGCGCTCTCGGCGGCCGAGCCCGAAGGGAGCGGTCCGGGGACGGCGGCGATGGGCGGGCTCCAGGGCCCCGACGGACTGGCCCTGGCCAGGTACTGGCCCCGTCGCGCTGCGGCCGTGCCGTGCCGTGCCCGCAGACCGCCCCGCAGACCCGCGGGGCCCGCCCCGGCCAGGGCCCGGACTGCCCCTTTCCCGGCCCAGGAGTCTCTGTGGGCTCGGAGCGGGATCTCCGTGAGACCGGCGGGCTCGGGCGCCGCGGGGCCAGGGGAGACCGCGGGACCGCCCGCAGACGCACTCGGGCCGTGGTGGGAACGGAGAGGGCTGAAATCCGAAAAGGGGCCCCCCGTCCCCCCTTGTTGCTCCCCAGAGGCCCCGGCGCCGCGCCCCGCGGGGTGGTCCCGGTGCTCGGCACGGCGGGCAGGAGCGGGCATGCGGCGCGGAGCCCCGGCGGCGCGGGGTCGGGGGCGGATGTCCCGGCCCTGGCGCTCCCCCGGCCCCCGCTGAGCAGCACAGAGCCCGGGGCTCGACCCCCCGCACTCCGAGTGCCACACGCGTCCCCCGGGTGGCGGCCGGTGGCCCTGGTGTGCATCGCTCCGTCTGCAGAGCAAGCGAGACCCGTGTGAGCTGAAAGCTCCTGAGCTGCGGCGGGAGCTCTGCGGCTCCGCTACGCTCTGTGTGTTCGGGGAACATCGCCTGCCCCTTGTGGGGAGTCTCCACGCTAAAGCAGAGGACTTCTCCCCCCAGCTCAACATTTAGGTTGTGCTCCTGTCTACAGGGAGCTGCTCACGGGGCCTGCAATATGCTGAGCATCAGGCAAACTAAAGCCCTGCTTCAGAAAAGCGTCGAGATTGCTACGTAAAGCACTTGGACGCTGAGAAATGCCACAGCTGAAGTCGTGTCTGTGCGCACTCTGTATTTTCAGTGGCACAGTGACATGCCAGACCTCCGTCTCTCACCTAGGGGTATTCCTCTTTTCAGGCCCCCTGTGTTTTCCTGCCTGCGCTCCCCCTTTGACCAGGGATGCAGTACCTCTGGCTGCTTAGCTACCCAGGCTCCCTGGTGGCATTACTATCTGTATGAACACATGGATTTCTAAACCATCACCTTCTGCTCTGTCCCTGAGGAGATCTGGAACACCACTTTGCTGCAGCCTTGAAGCACATGTTTTGTGTGGGACATGAAAGCCCAGCCATGGAGCTGGACACTTGGATCCTGTGTGGAGTGTGTAAGTTAGGCAAAGTGGGTCTACCGGGTACTCAGCCTTCCTCCACTAAACAGGCACAGTCTGACTCCCCAGGGTCCAGCTATGACATCACAGAGCCTCCTTTTTCTTTCCTGTCTTTTGTGCCTTTCTCTGTGGCACATCCTTGCAGTCCCAAGGAAATATCCCTCTGCAGTGAGAACTGCCCTGCCCCCAGCCAGGGAAACAAGTGTGGAAAAGCCAATGGTAAAATAATCATCCAAACTCAAATACTGAATCCTAAAATTGAGGCCCACTGGATCCCTGTCACCACTGATGCAAACATCTCCCACCCTTGGATCACTAAGGGAGAGAGAGATGCCTGTGTTTGCAGGTCATCAACCAGTCAGTCCCTAGTCCAGGATGAGGGCCCAGATTCCAGGCTGGGAAGGAAGCTGGCAGTGAGGAGCATTTGGATGGATCCCACCATAGGGATCAGTTGTGATACAAAGGACATGGTCCAGGTCTGCAGGTCAGCATCCGTATTCTGTCTGTCCTTGGCCCAGCTCTCCTGGCATGTTTGTGGGAAAGGGACCTTTGGGTTGGAGTCATCTTCATGCACACAGTTTGGGTCCATTCCCTGCTATCACTACACCATGGAGAAAGGGAAAGAACAGCCATGCGTTACTGGATCTCATGACTGCGCCTAAAGAGGCCCAAATCCAGGCTATGCAAACAGCTTCCTGACTCCTGAGCAATGGAAATTTGATCATTTGCTCAATGAACCTTTCCTACGTAACCTTCAACCCACACCTCACACCCTCAGATAGGTTAGCAAGATATTTGAGAGCAACAGGAAACTGCTCTACTCTGTGACCTTGCTGGGAAGCTGAATGAGCTGGGGCGACGTGTCTCCCACGAGGGAGGATGGTGGCCTGTGCCGACAGCAGCAGGTCCTGCCTGAAGCCTGGAGCACAAGCTCCATACTGACTTCTACACATCAGTGTCTGGCACCCAGTAAGTCCCTACTTGTGTCTCCAAGACAGCTTCTGCTTACCTCATCATACACTTGCATTACCTGCAGCCCCTGTCTCCCTTCAAACATTCAATCTCTGTTCCATGCTGGGAGCAGCAAGGAAAGACTGCTTCCAGAGGGGTGGGAAGCCAGGCAGCAAGGGCTTGAAGTCCACAGGGTGAAGTCCACAGGACCTGAGGAAGGTGAGCAGAGCAGATCTGATGACAGACAGATGCACCATTTGAGTAAGCCCTCATTCCAGAGGGCTGAACCCCCATGAGGGGCGAATGTACTCAGGGTCCAACAGCTTACTCCACTCTGGTTTACTTTGTCTCATCAGACTTTGTAGTAAAGAACAAAAGAAACTCATACGCCAAATCATGAAGCCAAGATTCAGATAAGGAAAGGTTGAAGGACTGCAGAAAAAATTAAAAAGTTGCAAAATAGAGCAAAGATTGTGCTGCTGTATTCCAAGGTGTACATGGAACGGGACAGGGCTCCCACATTCACCATCCTTGCAGGGTGAGCCAACTCAGAGTGAGGGTCCAGGTTGCACATGATAACTCTGTTACTCTTTGGACCTCCACAGGTTTTCCCAGTTTCTGTAACTTCTGTCTAATCTTCCACAGCTTCTTGCTGTCTAGTGAAATGCAGTTTCCATAGCTTCCACTTGAGGCTCAGACCTCCACTGCTCAGTTTGCTCCCTGGACATCTCTCCCTCTCCACACACCTTCCCTGCAGGAAGTCCCTCACTTCTGGTTTATCAGGCTCCATCCCTCCCTTGCAAAGAGCCAGTGCATTCCCTTAATGTGCCTTAATATACACCATCCAACATGCCAGGTACAGCAGAAATATTAATTGTGTGTGCAATTGTAAAGCCCCTGGTCTCATTGCACTCTCAGCTGTTGACAGAGACCTCTCAGGACCTCACTGGGTACATTATCAGACATTAGGCTAAAAAAGAGTCTCAGGGACACACCTACTCTCTCCTTCTGTTTTGAGGTTGCTGGGTCATGCCTTGTGTTTTCAGCCTCAACCTGGTTCTGAGTCTCACCAGGCTGGGATCCAAATTCAAGTCCAGTTTCTGCCAGCAGTGCCTTCAGCAATCACAGACCAGCCTGGCCTATCTCATCCTCCATCATGCCACTGCCTCTGTCCTCACTCTGCCTTTGCTTTCAATCCCTCTTCTCTGGTTTCTGCATTAGAACTGCTGAAGCTTTTTCCTCCTCCTCCTCTTTGTCGTTCCTTGCTGCAGACACATGATCATGGATGAGTCCATTTGCCTGTTTTTCAGGAGTCAGTAGGCAAGACTGGAAAGTGTCCTGCTCAACACTTGACACTTGGGACACAGTGTCTGTGCTGAAGACCGTGCATGACCTGTCTGGCTAGCACAGTGGATCTGCTCTGACTGCAATCTGCTCAGCATCGGCTTCTTAGGAGAAAACCATCAGCCTCTAAAAATGTCCTTGCTTGGAACACAAAAGGGGGATTCTCAGAGGCTGGTAATTTGGGAAAAGTTGATCCTAGGCTACTGGGCAGAAAAAGAACCATCTGGGCCAGCTCTCCTCTCTGAGGTGAGGAGTCTAGAGTGTATTCCTGGAGCACCGGCTGTTGGCCAGGTAGAGGCCAATTAATTTTTGCTGTATCTGTAATGGGAAAAGTTCTGAGACAGACACAGAGCATGGCAACCACAACTGCTACAGTTAAAGTGTAATGACTGACTGGCAAATGAAAGCAGGTCTTCCTAATGGAAACTGCTATGCAGCCTTAACTTTATGCCTCTACCTGCTCCACTTACGATCTCTGCATGGAATCTAGCACAACAGGACTAAATCTAGTCACAGCCTCGAGGCATTCCTGCAATATAGCTGCTAAACATATTAAAAGCAAGCGTAACGTTGCAAAATTATTTACTCAAAGTATGGGAAATCTAGAGATTAGTCTGGCTATGGCCATGGTGCTGTTTGACTGAAGCTGGGCTCCTGCCAGGCACAGACTCTGCTATTGGATGTGCCCATGACATGGTCCATCAGACCCTGCAGCCACACACAGCCTGGGGTGGGCAAGAGCTCACAGGCAAGGAGCACCCAGGAGGCCCCAGGTGGCCTCTGCAAACATAGTCCCACAGGCTTTCCCTGACTGCAGAGCTGCCCCATGTGCTTCCATCTTCAGCTTCCGACAGCAAAACCTGTCACAGTCATCTGCAGTGGCTGTGGAAACCTGCACTCAGACCTGGGGAACGCATTTCAGAAGCAGACCTGGCAGAGCCATAGCTGGAGCAGTAAGAACCCAGGATCTTCATTAGCAGCAGCAAGAGCAGTCCCAGGTGGATGGGTTTGCTGTTGACAAGATCTCAGAGGAGAAATTTTTGTTCCTGTAGTCTTGGGCAAAGCAGGATCCTTTGACATATCTCTTTAAGGATTATTCTGCTTAGGAGAGCCAAGCCCTCCCTCCGTCCTGGGTTTGGATCCTGCTCTGGGAAAGCGATATTAGCCAAACTCTTCAGATAATTTATGGGGCTGCTAAGGCACCAGACTGGTACCTCTTGCACTTTTAGCCTGGAAGCAGCTCTCTCCTAGTGCACTGCTCTGCCCCAGTAATTACTTGAGCAGAGTGCTCTGGATCCTTTAGTTCAGAAGACATCCATCATCTGCAGGTCACTATATGGACATGTCTCATAGCTCTGACAGAACTAAAGAGCCTATGAGCAAGCCTGATATTTTCAGAGTGCAGGATGCAGGACTCAGAGCAAAAGGGGTTATGCAGCACCATCCACAATACAGGCTGGCACATGACTAATGCTGTCTTCAGCTGGGAACATGGTCCAGTCCCTGGCACCACTGGAAACATCTTGGCTCTATTGTCTTTGTGCCCTCCCTTCAGGCACTTATCCACACTGATGAGATCCCCTGGAGCTTTCTCTTCTCCAGGCGGAAGAGTTCCAGCTCCTTCAGCCTTTCCTTGTAGGAGAGGTGCTCGGGTAATTTTTCTGTATTTAGATATTGCTATTTTGTCACCACTCAAGCCTCTCCAGCTTCAGGTCCTTGAGGCACTTTTTGTTGGGCATTTCCTTGTCTTCTGACCATTTTTGATGTCCTCTGCTCTCACTGCAAAGTTATATCAAACCTGCTTTTGCTGATTTACACTAAAGTTGCTTTTGCTGACACCTTTGCTGGTAATTCCTTAAGCGACCTGAACCACTCACTCACAGCAAGCGGCTGCAGGGGGCAAGGATGGACAGCCCAGAGAGCACCCTTGTGCCAAAGGGGTCTGCTCCCCGGGATTCACCTGCAGAACATGTCCCCGTGCTCACCTCAGGGCCGTCAGCATCTGCTGCAGCACCTCTGGATGGAAAAAGAAGCGGAGGAAGCATTTGGAGTCACGCTCCCAAGGGGGAAGGACCAGAAGCCCTTGGCACTGGGAGAGCTGCTGTTGGGCCAAGCAAGCCCCCAGTGTGAGCCCAGCAGAGCTCTGCACAGGGCTGATCAGAGGGGCAGTGTTGCTGTCAGGGGTCACAGCCTGCGATGAACACTGAGGTTCCTACTGCCCTGAGCCAGGGCACTTGGTGGCTCCCCATGGGGGATCACAGCCAGGGTCGTGGGGCAGCCCCTGAGGTGCTCGTGTGCTGGGGAGAGGATGGGGTTTGCCTTTGAGCGTCACATCCAGCCCTGAGGTCCTTTGGAACTCCCAACCACCGCCCATCCCGCGGGGTGAAACACCATCATCACTGCCAAACAACTGAGATCTCAAAGCTAAAGCTCGTGAGAGAAATGGAGTAAGAGCAAATATTTAAGCAACACTATAAATGCAGCATCACCATTTATTCCAGAATGTCTTTCTCAGAAAGCAGTACAGGCAGCAGATTCAGAGCTCAAAGCTGACAGAACCAGTACAAACCAGTGGGGCCAAAATGAAGGAAACTAAGGGGAAGTCAGAGGTGTCAATGAGGTGTCAATGGAGTGAGCAGCGTTGGGAAGGGAAACTGGGGCTCGTTATCCTGGGCCGAACACAGTCCTGGCAGTGACAGCACAGTGCAGAGGAACGACAAGACTGTGGTTCATAGATCTGTAATTAATCAGTCTGATCTCTTTGGGACTGGGCTGACCACCGTGCAGGATGAACCCTGCTCTGGGCTAGGGCAAAGCCTACAGTGATTTTTAAAAAAGCTAGAGATGAGAAATCTACATCCACCATGACAAGCTGTTCTAAGATGCAATTAACTAGAAGATTAATTGCACTTGCTATTAAAAATGTGTTTCATTTCTAATTCTAATTTCTGTGTTTGCCCAGCTCCAATTTCCAGCCACTGGGTCTAATTTTACCTCCAAGTGCCACTCAGAAAGCCTGGCAGTGCTGAATGGACGCTGCAGGGAGGTTTGGCAAGGCACAGCAGGGTCCAGCAGCAGGTGGCAGGAGGTGATGGAGGGTCCCTCAGTTCTCCATGGGAGTGGGATCCTAGCCCCTCCCACCCTGTGAACCTGGCACTGGAGAACAGGAGCCCACAGTTGCACACAGGACTCCAAGGAGCAACCATGGTGTGCCCAACCCCAACCCCTCTGCAGCTCCTGCTGCCAAGGAGTCACTGCAGCCCATCACCCACCCACGGTGCTCCTCTGAACCTCTCCAACTTCTCAAACTTTCTGACACCTCAACCCCGAAGCAGGATGCCCCAGCAGCAGAGAGGGCAGAGACCTGCAGGTGCTGGGCCCCAGCCCCAGGTGACTGTGTGCCACACACATTCTGCATAACGAAAACCAAGAACTCAGTGAATATTTCTGCTCTGCATTTGAAACAACAATGTGTAATATTCATATTTTACAGTGGTAATGAAATACTTTCTATTCCATCAGTAATTAAGGAAGATGCTAAACCGTGTAAGTAACAATTTTTATAATGTGCAGGAGAAGAGCTTGCATCCAAGAGTATTTAACTGGCTAATGAATTCACTAAACCATTTATTTTTTTCTTTATAACAAATCACGGCACACTGGGGAACTTAAGATTACTGGGGGGAAAAAATCCGATGTTTTGTCAGTATTTAAGTGTTCACATGGATATCCAGGAAACTACAGACCAGTTAGTTCAACATACATCTCTAGCCAATCACAGACAAGCAACCAAAGGATGTCCTGGGTAAATTAGCAAAAGCTAGAATCCAATTTAACCTAATTCAAAAAAGGTACTTTCAAATGATTTTATGTAACTTTTTTGTAAGCCTTGAAGTTTGATACAGCTAATGAGAGACAGAGTATGCTTAGATTCCTCTAAGTCATTTGACTTAGTTCTGCAGGACATTCTAATATGAAAAATTAGCTGTATGCTGCAGGCAGTGGGCTCAGCATTAAGAGATCCAAAAGAAGTGGGTGACTGAGAAGACTTATCCTACACAGCCATTTGACAGGTGTATTTCTAGCTCTATTCTCTTTGCATATCAACGTTACAAG